TATTCCTTAGAGAAGGACATGATGTGGGGAAGGATGGCAGGTCAACAAGGGAGGGAATGACCCTCAACCAGGTGGATTGATACAGTGACTCTTACAACGGGCTCCTGTGTGTCAGGAAATGTGAGGATGGCACAAGAGAGAACAGGGCTCCTATCTTTTGTTCATAGAGTCGTGTTCAACTCAACAGAACCTAACAACAACAACACTGAGATAGTTCAGTTAGCTCAGTGGTAAAAAACTGCACTTCCAACACAAAGGTAAGTGGTTCAAATCCACCAACTGCCCGATGGGAGTTAGGTGAATAATGTCCTCCCAAGTGATTTACTGCCTCTGAAAAGTCACTGGAGTGTGCCAGCTATGGGTTGGTTCCAACTTAACACAAGAAGTAGTCCTTAACTTGAAGTCCATGAGCCAAAATATTTTGAACTTTTACAATGTAAATTAGTAATGAAGAAAAGTTTGTCATATAAATGAGCAGATACTCATTAAAAAAGTCAGTGGATAATATCACTGAATACCTCATAATTATTATTAATAGTAAAAATGCTCATACTAGGTCTCTGCACAAGAGTGTTGGACACAATTTTCCTATTTCTACTTAAGTATTAATTTTCCCCTTGATATCAAAGAAGATAAAATAAATGATCACATTGCTAACATGAGATCAAAGTTCTCCAGTTTTCCTCTTTAGCTGTTAAGAGGTTCAGATCTAAGTGTTTTGCTAAAATACAGTCTAATCTCTTTAACTTAAGAGTCTTTCATATAATGAATCTCCCCTAGACTCTTATTTTTATGTCTTTGTTTTGATCATTGTAAGATTTTATCATCTATTATTTTTTTTAAAGAAAGAAGTAAAATTAGGTACAATCTAAACATAAGAGCCAAAAAGAACTAAAACTATTATTAAGAAGGGGAAAACTAAAAAAAAAAAAAGAAAGAAAAAGAAAGAAGGGGGAAACTCTACATGGAAGGTAAGAAGGCTTTGCTGCTATCAGTTGTCACTGACCCGATTCCAAATAACCTCAACCCTATGTACAATGAATCAAAAACTTGTAAATCCATCTTATTCAGAGTCGTCTTCTGCTCAGATCCTCCACCCTTCCAAACATGATGCCATTTTCCAGGGACTAACCCTTCTGAATGGGGGTCTGGTGGTCTAGCAGTTGAAAGTGTGCTGTAATCCCCAAAGTCATGCAATTTGAGTCCACCAGCTGCTCTGAAGGAGGATAGACAATTCTATATGATTGACTGCCTCTAGAAACCCATTGGAGGGTCAGGTGTGGGCCATTTCTGACTCAACAGCACACAGCAACAACTACCCTTCTGAAGGGAGCTCAGGAAAGCTAGTCCACAGGGAGCTGCACAAATCTACCAGCAGCTACATAGGAGAAATGGGGGCAAGTTCCTCCCTGGTAACTAACAGCCTCAAGATCTTGCTGGCGAGTGAGTGATGTGTCAATATTAACTCAATGGCAGTAAGTCTGAGTGAGTTTTGAACCATTTTTAACAACACAGTTTGTGATGAAGTTCATCATCCTTGCCCGTAAGGAGTTGGCTACACTACTCCCAATATAGATCTGTTTGTTCTGTCGGCAGTCTAAGGGAGATTCAACACTCTTCACCAACACCACAATTCAAAGGCACCGATCCTTCGTTTTTTTCTGATTCACTGTTAAAAAATTCACAAGCACATGAAGCAACTAAACATCTAATGGCTTGGACAGGTCATGTCTTAGTCTTTAAACAGCCATCCTTGCTCTGTCGAGAAGTCCTTTCCAGTAGATTTTCCCAATTCTACCTGTTCTTTGATTTCTTGACTGCTGCTACCATGGGTTTTGATTGAGGATCCAAGCAAAAATGAAATCTTTGATAACTTCGAACTTTTCTCCATGATGTTGCCTATTAGTCCAGGGATGAGGATATTTGATTCATGAGGTTGAGGTGTAATCTAAAGAATGAAACTCTGATGCACCCTGTCCTGAATTTAAACCATGCAGTATTCCTTTGATCTGTTTAGACAACTTGTTCCTGGTCTATGCATAGGTTTTATAGGGGTACAAATTTAGTGTTCTGGATTTCCATTCTTTCATGGACTCTTCTGACTGTACTTGAATTTTTTGAGTGTTTCCTGTCAATATACTGTTCTAAACAATTCTTATAATTTTCAATAAGATTTTTCTTCCATGTGATAGTAATAATATCGCTTAATAATTTCCACATGTTATTGGGTTGCAGCATCTTTTTGGAATAGGCACAAATACAGATCTCCAATAGACAAATACAGCCAGTTGGCCAGGTCTTCTGAATTTCTTGACACAGACAAGCGTAAACACCAGGGCTGCATTTGTTTCCTAAAGACCTCGGTTGATGATATATTGTCGGTTCCTGGAGTCTTATTTTTGCTAATGCTTTTAGTATAATTTTGACTTCTTCCTCTGTAGCAATGGATTTTGGCCTTATGTTACTTCCGGAAATCATTCATTACTGACAAACTGTTTTGATACAAATTCTGTGAATTCTTTCCATTTTCTTTTAATGCTTGTTTAACTGTTTAATATTGTGCCCACAGAATCTTTCAGTTTTGCATACTATTAGCTAATAATATCTACCTTTTAAAAACTAGTGCTTTTAGTGACTTAAAAAATTATATAGCCACCTCAGATATATTCCATCAGAATCTGCAATTTCTACAAGATTCTGAGGTGGTTTTTACACACATATCTATAAAAAGCAAATACATATACATTATTAAAATGCCTATAAAAAACATTCTTTCCATAGTCACCCACATTATATATTTAACATACAAAATTATATAATGCCAACAAAGAGGAGGACTTGAAGCACTTGCTGCAGAAGATCAAAGGCTGCAGCCTTCAATATGGATTTCACCTCAATAACAGGAAATAAAAATCCTCACCGGAGGTCCAATAGACAGCAACATTATGTTGTTGTTGCTGTTAAGTGCCGTTGAGTTACAGGTTGCATAGCGACCCTATGAAGGAGAGTCCTCAATGGACAGATGGAGAAAAACTGAAGTTGTTAACAATTCCATCTTACTCGGATCCCTTGGCACTAGCAGTCAGGGAATCTAAAGATAAGTTGCACTGGGAAAATCTGTTGTCAAGAATTTCTCCAGAGTGCTAATGAGTAACGATGTCAGTCTAAAGACTAAGATGGGTCTCTTCCAAACAACTGTTCCCTATGCATATGAGAGCAAAACAATGAATAAGGATGACAGAAGAACAATTTATGCCTTTGAGTTGTGGTGCTGAAGAAGAGTCCTTAACATTACCATGGACTGACAAGATTTGTTTTGGAGAAGGTGAAACCAGGTTGTTCCCTGGAGGCAAGGATTTTGAAACTCTATCTCCCATGCTTTGGACATGATCTCAAGAGTTACCAGTCCTTGGAAAAGGCCACCTGGCTTGGAAGGGTGGAGGATCAGTGCAAGAGAAGACGACTCTGGATGAGATGGACCGACACAGTGACTGCAACAATGGGGTCAAGTGTGTTAGAGATGGTGAAGTTGGCTCAGGATAGGGCAAGGTTCAGTATCACTGTTCTTATGAGTCTCAAGAGAAACAATATAAAGCTAAAGAAAGACTAAACATTAAAATCTGAAATCAGTACAATAAATATACCAATTTCTCATCAGATCAAAAAGATCAATCTTAGTTATAATTCCTGCTGTTGTTATGTGCTATGAAGTCACCCATAGCAACCCTAAGTACAACAGCTCTGAACTCTGCTCTATCCTAAGCAAACCTTATTGTCTCTGACATACCCTATTCTCCCAGTCACTGAATCAGTTCATCTCTTCCAAGATCTTCCTCTTTTGCACAGTCCCTCCACCCTCCTAAGCATAATGTCCCTCTCTGAGAACTGGTCCCTCCTTCTAACATGTCCAAAGTATGTCAGACGGAGCTTCAGAATCCTTGCCTCTAAGGAGCAGCCTGGTTTTACCCTCTCTAGGATGAACCTGTTTGTTCTTCTGGCAGTCCCTGGTATATTCAATACTCTTCTCTAGCATCACAACTCAAAGGCATCAATTCTCTTTCTATCATCCTTAGTCACTGTCTAGCTTTCTGATGTACAGCAAGTAATTGCAAAGACTAAGGCGGGTATTAGGCACACCTTAGCCTCCAGACTGACATCCTTGGTCTTCAGTACTCTGGAGAGGTCCCTGACAGCAGATTTTCCCAGTGCAATTAATCTTTTGATTTCCTGGCTGCTGGTATCAAGATGCTGACTGTGGAGCCAAGCAAACTGACACTGTTAACAATCTCAATCTCTTCACTGTCTATTGTGATGCTGCCAATTGGTATAGTGGTAAGAATTTTTATTTTCTTGATGTTGAGGTTCAATCCATGTCAAAGGCTGCAGTTCTTGACCTGCTGCAGCAAATTTCTTAAATCCTCCTCAGTTTGATAAAATAAGGTCCTGTGATCTGCATAACGTAGGTTGTTGATAAGTCTTCCTCCAATCCTAATGCCACATTCCTTCTCTTAGAGCCCAGCCTCCCGGATGAAACAGAAAAAATTTTAAATAATGGAAAGTTAAATAAATAAATGGCTAGATGCATATATGGATGAATAGGGAAGAGTATAGGAGGAGTAAAAAAGGCCAAGAGTTGAGTTTCCTATGTGCCTCATAGTCCTTAACACGTTGCCACACACTTTTAAATTGAGACCATGCTTAGAAACAAATTTTTTGCTGTCATTTGTGGCAACGTGTCAATAAATTCTAGATCATGATGTGATCTTAATTCTTCCAAGTATTATAATTTTCACTCTGCTTGAGGAAGAATACTACTTCGGCTTTTAGTCAAAATGTTACGCCTTTGGTTCCTTATGTATAGTATGTCTCAAATGAGAGACTACACTGTGAATATATTGCTACATTTTTTAAAGACTTCACTCAAATATAACAAGTTATTATTATGTAAAGAAACTTTCTAAACTGCAATTTTCTGGTACTCAGAAAAAAAACAAATAATCTTACCTGATATTGATACCTTGTTTGTATATTTTACATGCATCAGAAGGCAGAATTCGGGAAAGTAAAGGCACTGTATTTTCAAAAAGAAAGGGTGAGGGGAAAAAATGACTTAGAGTTTTGAGACATTGCAAGCTTGTAAATAATAATAATAATAATGTAAGTATTTTGCTAATTAAAAAAATAATAATTTCCTTTATACAAGGACATTTTTCCATTTAAAAAATATACAAGGCAATTTGATCAACTTCAGCTGTAACTGAGATACAAAAAAATCTTCCAAATTCACTACTGTTGAGTCCAAAGTGGTTCATAGGCTTTGAGCTGACAGTACAATAACTGTATCTCCCTCTCTCCTGTTCTGACCATATAGTGAACTAATAGAGTCAATATTAAGACACTTTTGCGTATGTTTTTTAGTTATAATTATTAAGGAGAAAGCAATACTTTCTGATAATAAAACGTCCCTGAATGGTTAACCTGATGATCTTTCAAATATAATGTAATCCTTTAAACAATTTAATAAAATGGTAGGAAAGTAACAGCAACTAGAAAAGACGTAAATTTTTAAACCAGTCATGTGACTTCACTTATTTAAAGCTTTCCTTGCCTTAAGTTTAAAAATTTGTCCATTTAATTTACTTACAGAGTTCTGCATACTATTGTTATATCCATATCACAATAAATCATACAGATTATAGTCTATAGGGTTTTTTTCCATTATTGTTATCTGCTGCAGTTGGAGAGTAATAGTTCAGAATAAACTATCATGCACCAGAAAGGGGTGGGGGGGAGAATAAAAATGTATCACTCATAATTCTCAAAATTGACATATCTCCTGTACAGCTGTTGTTGTTGTTGCTGTTGCTGTTAACTGCTTTTGAGTTGAGCATGACTCATAGCAAACCTATGAACAAAAGTCCTACAGCTGACTGACATTTATCAAAGTTCACAGAATTTCCGGAGGCAAGTTGTTTAGGAAGTGGATGCCACTCTATATGAAAGTATGTTTGCTTCATTTTTTGGTTGTAACTAAAATACTTTACAAAACTAAGTGCTAAAATATCTTACAAAACTAAGTGCTTTTAAAATCAGTGGTTATAAACTTAAGGAGGAAATGATTTTAATAATTTTAAGTTAATATTTTCAAATCATTTAAAAATAATACTGAGGTCTTATACCAATACAAGATCCTTCAAAACAACTCAAAACCATTGTTAATGAGTCAATCCTGCTTCGCTGTTACCCACCATTTGCTGCATAACAGAACATCTACATAGGGTTTTCTTGACTTTCCTCCTTATGAAGCTTTTCTTCTATGGTGCCAGTGAGTGGGACTAACAGCAATAATTAGTTAACATTTTGAACTCTAAAAAACTCAAACTCATTGTTGTCAAGTCATTATGGACTCAGAGCAACCCTCCATTAAAGGCTGCAAGGCACAATAAAGGGAGACTGCCCATCTTTCTATTCTGGTGGAATCCAACCACCAGAGATGAATGGCCTTTGGGTCAGCAGTACAACTTGCTAACATCAAACCTGCACCATCAAAGTTGCCTAGTTTACATTTTTACAAGTTATTTAATCCAAAATTGTTTCTATCTTTTAAAATTGTTTTCTATAGTTATCTCCTACTTTAAGAAAAATGCATTGCTTAGGGACAATATAAATTAGGAGGTGGCCTAGTTTAAAAACAAAGAATCATTTATTGATTGAAATTTTTCATTAAAAGAACCTAAAATTGAGATGAACAATAATCATCATCTATATAAATGATCAAAAGTCTCCCTATGGAGAACAGTGTCAAATAGTAATTCCTAATTAACACTAAATTAATGACAAAATCAATGTTATCTTAGATCCTTTAAAACGAACCAAACCCTGTTGTCAATAAATTAATTCTGGCTCATTGTTAACATAGCCATGTGGTACATAATAGAACTTCTCAAAACAGTTTTCTTGGTTTTAATCTCTACGAAGGTTTTCTTCTAAGAGGCCACTAGGTAGTGTGGCATAAACCAAAAATTACTAAAGAGTTCTATAATTTGTTTGGTGAAGCTCCCCAATTAAAACAAGCTTGGAAGCAGGAGTGGCATCCACTTCCATAATAGCTTGTCTCTGGAAACCCTATGAACCTGGAGAAAGGACAAAAGTTATACAAGTGTCCAGGTCTTTCGTTCAAAGAGTCGCTATGAGTCGCCTGTGACTCCATGGCACTTAACAACAACATAATTTATTAGATCTTTTGAAGTGGTTATAATAATCTATGAAATTAAATTTAGAAGTATGTGTCAACACCTAGTTAATATAAATCAGAGAAGGAAGAAGAGGGAAATGCAGAAAATAGAAGAAATTGTGAAATGAGAAGTAAAGGCTAAGAAAAAGAAAAGAAAAATCTTCTCCAACAAAAAATTATTTCTGCTAGGTTGTAATGAATTCTAAGAATATATGAATTTGTATTTTTCCTATTCTTTAATCACTATTTCCTTACCCATTTAATTGATCAATCTTTATCTCCACACAATCATATGTGAATATCCTAATTTCATTAAAGGTCAATGAAATGTCAGGATATAATCTGTTCCACATTATAGTGTTATTTATTAATCCAGTGTGAGCCAAAAACTGATGCATCTATTAATTATCTAATACCACTTAATATTTTTATTTACATGGTAGAAATCAAAAGTGACTAATAGCAATAGTATAATATAAAAAATTTATAATTATGCATGCTCATTTATTATATAACTTCCAAATCTATATGGATCACATTTTTAAATACTTAAAATAAAATTTGGATAGCTGTATATATTTTGTTACGAAATCTAGTTATTTTCTTTTAGCAATACAGCCAAATTATAACTGATTTAAAAATATTATTTAGGAATATATGATGACTATATTATATGTCAGAATAAATATCAATTATATCATCTTCCTCTTATACTCCCATTGTAGATATGTAAAATTCAATATTGATTCGTGATTAGTGTAAGAGGATGATTATAAATTATGAACAAAGGCAGAAGTTACACAGGTTACTAAAGGTCTCTAGAATTACACTTTCTATTCAGATATGATGGTTTTTGTTTTTTTGTTTGTTTGTTTTTCAGATATGATGGTTTTTGTGTACATGATTTTAAGTCTCAAACTAGGAGAGAAATTTATTTTGCTAATGTAAGTTAATAACTGTACAGAAAGTATAAAATATTAGAGGCCCTTAAAAATAACTGGCATCATTTGCAAACAAATAGTATGCTAAGAAATAGCTACAAAGTATATAAAAAAAATATTGGCATAAATTATTAGAAGATTATAAAACAAATATAAGCAATTATTATTAATTTTCACATTCAGGTATCTGGACACTGATCTCCAAACTCAATATTCTCAAGTACTCTTCCTTTAAAAAATGCCTTATATTAACTATTATCCTTTTCAAACCTACTTTTTATGGTAATAAAAAAGCAGTTCCAAACCTTAAAAATAAAAATTTTAAGATTTACTAATCAAGTTGAGACAATTAAGTATTATTATTTATAACTCTTGAATTCAAGATAATTTTAAAAATTTCATTTTCTTAGGCCCAGGGTCAACTACGTAATAATATTTCTCCATAATTTAAAGTAAAATATAGCATACTCTTACCCCAGCTTTGAAAATCCCAGTGAAGTTCTAGATAAAAATCACCTAGCTGAGAAAGAAAATGTAAATAATTACTAAATATAATTTACTTACCAGATTTTACATAGGATACATTTTTCATTTAAAATTAATAAATAATATTAGAAAACACCACAAATTTTATAAAATGCATCTTAAAATATTTCTTTTAAAAAAGTTTCTAGATAGAATAGTAAATGATAAAGAACTAGTCTGAATGTTACAAAAAGAAAAAAACAATACTATGATTGTTATTTAAAAATTATCATAGCATGCTTTGAGAATCAGAATATATAAAAAATGCTTAAATTTACATTTATAATTACTCTTTTTATACAAGATTAACAAAGAAAGTCTACCTCTTTCAGGGCTTTTAATAATCGAGGTCGTTTTTCTTCAACACTTTCCCTGGACTGCTGCTTAAGTTTCCTTAAAAGTGCTGTAACTAAAGTTAGAATAGACAAAAGATAAATTATTTTCACCAAATTAAAAATTTAGCTAAGAAATACCATAGGCTTATCAGATATATTAAAGTAATATAGTGAATAAACTAGTGATTTAGTAAACCTGATTATGAACACCAAGGATATTTATTTATAACATATTAAAACTCATTTCTCCAGTTTTTAATTATCAGTAAGGATTATGTAAATGTACCAAGGTATACAAATGTCAATTCAGTGGAATAGCATTAACTTCAAGAAGAATATAGGATGAGAGAGTGATCTCAAATATCCCTGTGGATATCACTTTTTTTAAAATGTGTACTTACTCTAACTGCTATGAGGATGGCTGTACCTTCACATACCACTACCTCTGTTTAAAACAAAACAAAACAACAACAACAAAAAAAAAAACACAAAAAGTGATACTTTTAAAATACTCCTAAAAGTTAAGAAAACTCAAGATGAACCATTATATTTCTCAAAAGTTTAGAGATTCACCTTAAAGCACATTGCCTGAGTTTCAATCTCAGGTCGCTACTTACTAGATGTACACGGGACCTCAACTTTTAAAACTCGAGATTCTTTTTTTCATTTGTCCACAGTCAACACTCTTGGCACCAGCAGTCAGGAAATCAAAAAGCGTATCGCGATGAGAAAGTCTGCTGTTAGGGACCTCTCTAAAGTACTCAGGAGCAACGGTGTCTCTCTGAAGACTAAGGTGCGCCTGATACAGGCCATGGTATTTGCAATCGCTTGTTATGCATCAGAGAGTTGGACAATGACTAGGGAGGACAGAAGGAGAGTTG